ACTTATCGAAAGTCTTAGTAACTCGTCCTTCGAACTTCAATTCGAAACTCGATTATCGGGCCAAAGCAGCTTGCTCTTCGCTCATTAGTAAGCTAGAAAGTGCATCCCGAATAAAAGCCTTTCTCTTAGCGGCGGCTAACTTAAGAAGCATATTTGACTCGTGAACTACGGTTCACGGGCCAAACATAAGATAGCGGAATAAGGCTGGTAATAGTAGTGATCGATTAAATGATAATTAAAGTCGTTAGTATTAGTATAGTATTATATAGTTGTGAAAAGGAAGTAGTGATAGTATTATTATAATTGTTATTGTATAAAAAGAGAAAATGTTAAGAAAAAGGAAGAAAGAGCTTTCTTATATAAGTACATTTGTGGGGAGGACCCACTTTTTCTAATAGCAGTTCACTTTCGAATACACGTAGTTAAGCACGCTTAAAACAAAAGAATAATCCTAAATAAGAAATAGGAAATAGCCGTATAAGCTTAAACAAGTGAAAAACAATCAAATAATAAGAACAATCTGTGTAAGACAAATGAATAGCTAATAAGGTAAAAGGAACAAGGAAAGAACAAAGAATACAATAAAAAGCAAGTCCAAAAGTAAGAAAATAAACGTAAGAAATACCCTTCCCTACCAATAACAAAGAGAATGATCATTAAGGGCACGTCCCCTTATAAAATAAGTATAAAACAAGGAAAGGATAAGAAAGTAAAAAAAAACAAAGTAAGGAAAACAGACTAAAAAACAATTTTATAAGCTAGTTTTTATTCCTTCGAAAGTATTAAAGGAATGATTTGGAAATTAATGGACTTGGGTCTAAAGGTCACCTTTAAGTTAAGTGGTTCACTTTTGCCGTCGTCGGAAGGCTCGTATTCGCTAAGGTCCGAGTCGTCTAAAGAGCCCGAATTTTCCTTTTCTTCTTCTTCGTCGTCTTTATTAAAAGGAAAAAGGGTTTGGTTGCGGCGGTAAAATCGCTTAAGGCGGTTAGCTGCAAAGGTGCCTTTAAGCTCAGTCCTATCGGTTTCTTAAAGCTTATAATATCCCTTATCGTAAGCTTTAAAGACGACATAAAGTCTTAGCCATTTATAATCTAGCTTGATGTCCGCGGACATATCGATGCTGCGTTTAATATCGTAGAGCAGTACTAGGTCTTTTTCTTTAATAGGTTCCGACTTTAAGACCTTGACTCGTTCCCAAGTGGCCTTAGCGGCAAGTCGATGGCGTTTCTTCTTTAAGATGATTTCGTCGATATCTTTATCCCGAAGTTCTAATTGTCTAAACTTTATAGCAAGCAGGTCAGCGCGAGATCGAACCTTTTGCTAAGGTAGTAATCTCTAGACTAGCTATCGTGACTCCAAAGGTAGCTCAGCTTCTCGTCCGTAGTTCAAGAAGAAAAGGGTGATTCTAGTAAGTGCGTGTATCGATATCCGGACCGCAAAGAGCATCCTATTGAATTTGCGAACCTAATCCTTAAATCCTTTATTTATGACTTTCAATAAGCTATCCAAGATGTCTTTATAGCTTCTCTCAATCATTCTATTAGCCTTTGAATTGTAGCTTGAGATTTGGACCCTTTTGATCCCGTACTTAATAGCGAAAGCCTTGGCAACTGCTTTATTTTTAAGTCCCTTATCGATAGTCAGTCTTCCGAATAGTTTATAGCGGCAAACGATATCCTCTTAAAAGAACTTAACAATAGATTCGGCGTTGGCCGATCGAAGTAGCCGCCTTTTCGGCTATCTAAATAGATCTTCCTTAGCTAATACGAAGCAAGTTATTCCTTTATCGGTGGTAAGAACTCGTGACACGTCCAAGCTGACTTTTAACTATATCTAAGTAAGCTAAGTCGAGTATAAAAAGTTTTCTGTTCGTCCAGCTTTGCGCTTCTAACAAAGCTTACAGCTTTAGACGAAAGCCTTGCAATCTTCGTAGCATCTATTCCAAAAGAAGAGTTTTAACGTGCGATAATAAATTGACTTAGCTCTTTTATATCCGGATTCTCGATAAGCGTCGGAAATAGCAGTATAGCGTTTTTAGGTTCCGTCGACAACTAGCCTGATCGGGTAGGAATTGTCTGCTCGCTTATAAAGGTAACTATCTTTGACCAAGTAATTAAGTGCTTTATTCTTAAATTTCTGGAAGTCGTAAGTCTTGATCGAGGGAAAGCGTTTAAAAGTAGTAAAGAATTAAGCAATAAGCTCGAAGTCGGGCGAATAGTCGTGCCTTAAAACTCTCTTTTTAGCCCGTGAACTATAGTTTACGAGTCGTTTAACCGAAAATACTAAAACAATGCTTAGCTCGTTAATAACCCAATCGTTAATATCTTCCTCCTCTCTTTCCTTAATATTTGAAAGATACTCCTTTCCTCTCTTAAAAAGACCGTCCGCCGCCGTGTTTTTGGTCCCAAGGATATGCTTGATTTCAAAGTCTATTAATCTTATCCACGCAATCTAATTCGTAACGAAAGCTTTAAGCAAATCGCTTGCTAATCCGTTGAGTTGATCAACTAGTACTTTAGCGTCGGTTTTCAAAATAAAGTGAACCTCGTATAATTCGCTTTTCATCTTTTTCATAGCTTTTAAAGCACCGCGGCATTCTCGCTTAATCGCGTCGTACTTGCTTTCCGCAAGGTTCTAAAGACCATTCTCGAACCTAGCAAAATATCGCTTTTTATCGGAATCCTCTTACTGCAATACTGCTCTTTATCCTTTAAGACTAGCGTTTACCGTCAAGTAAATTTTTCCTTCGTCCTTGCTATAATCGATCTTGATAAAAGCGAGAGCAAAGAGCAAAGCTTCCTTAAGCAGCCTTATCGCTTCCTGCTAAAGCTTTAACTACTCGAATTCGACTCCCTTTCTTATCGTCGCGTAAATTAAAGCAGCAATCGTAAAAAAGTTTTTGATTTAAATTCTATAATAAACTACGATGCTAATAAAAGCTCGAGCTTTCGATACGTCCTCGCACTTAATCTATTTTAGTATCTTCTTAATTTTGGCGGTCTAAAGGTAGCGTCTTTCGCTATCTATAACGAATCCAACGATATTAAAGCCAAGCATGCAATATTAAGATTTCGTTTCGACGATCGTCTTAGCTTTTTTAAACTTCACGAGCACCTTATCGATATTTTAAATATACTTTAAGACGAATCGTCGAATTCCGAGCAAAACTTCCTTGTAATTATAAAAAAATCGCGATCCTTTAACTCTTACGTCATCTATATAAAGCAAGCAAACGTTAAGAATGCAGTCTATAAAGATCTTATAAATGACCTTAACGAATTAAGCGATCGAATTAATAGCTCTTATAAGTATCCGGGTCATCCGAAGCAGTCCGATAAGCGTTTAAATAGCTGTCATATCCCTAGACTTAACGTCGAGAAAGAATTGATCGTATTTAAAGAAAAAATCCAAAAGTATAACCATCGTAAGACCGGTAAATTCGTTCGAAAACTGGTTTACGTTCGAAGCAACATTAGCGTCCTTGACCGTCACACGGTTCATCTTAATTACAGCAATAATCAGCTTATATTTTCCTTTCTCTTTCTTCGCTATAATAAACCACTTATTCCGATAAAAGCCTTAGCATAGTTCGAAGACCTTTTGCTTCAATCGTTCTTTTAGCATAAAGATGACCATCTCTTGCAAAGCTTTCGGTACCGTAAACGTCTTCTCTTGCCAAGCTTCGTAAAGCACCGTCTTGATCTTTTAAAGCGGCATAACTTCTTTCCGGACTTGGCCAAGATAAGTAAAATCTTAAGCCATCGCTTCTTCTCGATTCAAAAGGCATTAGTAAAGCAGCTCTCTCTCTTCCGGAATGACTTAAAAGCCAATCGTAAGTGCCTCGAATCGTTCTCTCGTTAATCTTGATCCAACTTCTAAGTTTAAAAACCTGCTAGTAAAGTATTCCGAAAAAAGTCTTCTAAGCTTAGAAAGTCTCGCCTTCTTATCTTGCTCGAACTAATCGTCGATCTTTCCAAGTATTTTTCCATTCGACACTCTTAAATCCACCGGTCTGACCTTCTCCGCCTTCCTCTTATACATCGTATTAACCTTTATCATATTCCTTCTTAAAAGGTCCTTGTCGTTGTCGATAATAAATATGAAATTTTCTGATTTGTCGAGTTTAATTACAAATATTTTTAATGTTTTTGATTTTAATAAGCTTTGCTTAATGTTAAGTTAAATTGTTTTTTTATGATTTTGTTGTTTTTGTGCCGATCCATTCGTGAACTATAGTTTACGGGCGGAATTTCTTTTTAAGCTTCCTTCCAGCTTAGCATCCATCTTAACCTGCATGCTAGCGATTAATTTCTCGGGTCTTCGACTAAATCCGACTTGTCCCTTGTAATAGTAATCTAGCTTTAAGTAGATCGATCGTAGTTCTAAAAAAAAGCTTTTATCGTGCTATTATCGAAGTAAGAAAAAAAGAGTTAGGATTCCAAAAAGAAAAGCATGCTTAAGATAACCTCGTGACTACTATTGTTGATAATAAAGAAATCGGCGTAGTTAGTGATTCCGCCGATAATGACTTCGACGTCGTTTATTTACTTATCGAAGTTATAAAAATCCCCGGACACGGTAATATAAATTAAAGCTCGATCCGTCATAATAAGTAGTTTGGCCATCTTAGCCACTTCTTTGTTTATTACGTTGACCTTAGATCCACTATCGAGAAAGGATCTGCTTTTGACTATACCGTCGATATTAATAAAAACCTTTAAAGTCTTTATCGCCACCTCGAGGCAATTGCGAGCGATAGGTTATTTGCGGATTTGCGTCGCTAAGAAGTCTAGCTTGCCTTCTTTATTCCGACTTAAACGTCTAATAGTTAAGGCGTTCACAAGAATAAGCTTACCTTAAAAGACCTTTACGTTTTCCTTAGCATCGGGGACCATTAGAATATGGTGGCTTAATAGCTTGTCGAAGCGAGAGCTGAGTCCGAACAGGTCTTTAATTTAGACTTCGATTCTCGATTTCATAATCGCCGCTATTGCTTTTTCTTAAGCTTTAATAGTAACGTAAAGGTCAATGAACTTCTCTCGTTTGTAGGTCTTCTTTTTCCTTCCTTTTGATACTCGCTGAATGATCTCAACCTCTCTTTCCATATCTTCTATAGCTTCGTCGGCTTTAGTTGGTCCAGAAGGTCTAGAAGACTCTTTCTTAATTAAACTATCGAACAGCTTATCCTTCGAGTCTATCTCTATAGCAGTACCCGATTTCTAAGAGGCACGGGCTTTAAGGGTGCCGTAGTTTTTCTCCCTTTGTTGTCGGACATTCTTCTTGATCTTAATAGGCTTAGATCCTTCCGAAGGCTGGAAAGGCTTTTTAGCTTTGTCCTTTGCGGCGGCGTTGATCTCGACCGAAGCAACCTTTATGCTAGATAAATAGCTAAGCGTGTTGATCTATCTTATAGCATTAATATTTTTGGTATCGACTAGTCTTTTAAGAATAATGGTAAGCTTTCTTGGCTAGTTAGTTAGTTGCTGAACATTTTGATCGGGCTGATACTAAGCTAACTGTTAGATTAGTTATTAATAAGAAAGTAAGTGTCTATAAGTCCTAGGTCCGCTAATAAGCCGATTCTCTAAGATATTGTCGTATTCCGTCCTACGAACGTCCAATACGATGGATCTAAACTAAGTCTTTCTTTGCTTCTTTTAGATAATAAAAGCACCGATCTTCTTAAGTCTTAAGCAAAAGCGTTCGTAATCACTAATATAAATACATCCTTTATTGACCATATCTTTAAAAGCCTTATACTCATCTCGGTATTAATAAAGAGCTTGAGTTGTGTCTCCGGAGTTTTCGCAAAAGCTATAATCTTGCATCTAGCTCCCGTATCCTTTACCTCCTCCTCTTCTTCGTCTTTATAGTCCGTAGCCGATAATAGCAATCTGAACTTCTCTTCCGAAGCTGACTTTACTTCGAGCATCTTAAGCGGTATATTTGATAAAGGCTTCGTCGCGGTCTTCGAATCGAACTTGAGGTTAAGATTAAATAAAGCGTCGAGAAGTTAAGTTGGCGACTTGGTCTTCGAAATAATCAATTCGATTATAGATCGCACTAATCTGCAAGTTAAAAAACTTCTTAATTATAAAACCTACTTTGTTAATTTCCTTTTTTTCATTCGTAAATCGTGGTTCACGGATAAACGGCATTACTACTAAAGCTTTCTTAGCAGACTTAAGAACGCTGGCTAGCTCCGTATGTTCTTTGACTAAAGTCCGAATATCCTTGGTAAAGTTAGTTAAAAAAGACTTTTTCCGATTTATAGCTTCGATAGTCTTAGCGCTCTGGTCGGTCTTAAAAGCGAATGCGGCGAAATCATCGAAGGCGGCATAAGAGTTTAAGTCGAGTTCGTCGACCTTATAATGCTTGATCGTCTTATTTCGAATTCCGACGAGCAATCCGAAAAAGAACAAGCGGCTTTGTTCGGTCTTGCTTAAAAGGTGCATTAAAGTAAGCCTTTCGAAGACCCGAAAGAAGGTGCGACAATAGTTTTTTAAGTCATTGATATCTCGTTCTTGCATAGCAAATTCCCGCAAGAAAGCGATCGAGTCCTTGATCTATTAAGTATCGTTTTTACGAAACTCGGCTTTCAAAGCCTTGACGAAAGCAGCTTAATCTTTCTTAGCTTTCTATTCGAGCAAGCTCTTAATAACCTCCTTGCGAAAGTTATCGTAATAACGAAAGAGTTTAATAAACCGATCATCTTTAAAGATATTAAAGTCATTATAAGTTTCCTCGTACTTTTCGATAAAATCGATAATGTTGGCATCATTAAAGCAAAGAGCTCTTAAAGCGCTTAGCAATAGCATGCGAATAGTCATAAAAGCGTAAAAGATAGCAAGGTCGACTATAACTAGCGCAAGGCTTAGTAAAAGAGCAAGAGAAGCAAGAGGAAGAGGAATAATATAGATCTTAAGACCGGTGTTCATTTTAAAAAGCATTTCCGAAGCAAGTGTTTTCGATAGAAATAGCGGTAAAGGTTCAAGTTAAAGGTCGAAGTAAGATAAGGATAGTCCGAAGCTTATAAGAATACGACTAAGGGATTTAATAAATTCAAAGGATTTTAACGAAAGAAGAGGTGATTCTGCGCCGACTTCGATATTAGAAATCTCAAAAAGGTTTTCGGTATTCTAAGGATCAGATATATATATATATTAAGAATGATCGGGTTGATGAAAGGTTTTTAAATTGTTTGATTTTGATTCGTAAATCGGGTTCACGAGTAAAATAAGCGATTTTCGCAAAGTATTCTCGATTCGAAATTAAAAGGAATAGACCTCTTGCAAAAGTAAACTAATAGATAAGATCAGAACCATAAAAAACTTAAGAATTAATTGATTAGCTTCGCTGATAACTCCGGATTATATCAATTGCTTTAATTTAAGATAAGAGCTAAAGTATAAAAAGATATTTTTATTAATAAGTGAAAATTCTTTCTTATTGACAATAAAAGAGAGTTTTTGCCGGGGAGCCGAAATATTGCACTTCGGCTATTTCGGCGTTTCGATGTTCGAACCCATCGAGAATAAAGTTTTGATTGTTTTAAAGTCGTAGTTGTAAAGTGAAGTGCTAAATGAACGAAGATCAACTTAATTGCGAATCAAGCGATTGTAATAGGCTGTATAAAGATAAAGACCAAAGGTTTGAATCCTTGCGTAGGTCACTAATGTAGAAGCACTTAAAAAGATGTGCTATATAAAAGCTTGGCTCTAAGGCTAGACCTCATGGTCTTACAAAAGAGATATTAAAAAAGGTGAGTAGAAAGCTCGTTGATTGTTCTAGCTAAAAGATGTGTGCCCTTTTATAGAAGATAGGTCCGTCTAGTGTGGCCCTAATGGCCATAGCAGGTACCCCATCAGGCAGGGTGTTTACATTAGCATCGAGCAACTAATAAGCTCGAAGAATTATTGCATTTTACTCGATTTAATAGTTTAATAGAACGCTAAGCTATCGATATCATTTATTTATTTATACGTAATAGTAAAAGCTATTTAATTGTTGCTAAAGATAATATAAGTGAATAAGTCGAAACAAAAGCGATTCGGACTCGAGACTCGCTTTTAATAATTAAGTTTATTTAAGAAAATATTATCTACTATTATAAGATTTTCTTTCAGCTAATAGTCGACGAAAGTTCGGAGTTTAAAAAAGAAGTAATCGATTTATTTAATAATTAAAGAATTAATCGAATCGTAGTTTTAGTATATTACTTTTAAGCGAATAGAATAGTAGAACGCGGCTACGGACTAATTAAAGACGCATTAAGTAAGCTTAAAAGTACTTGTAGGAATAAGGGGATCGGAGTTAAGGACTCGATCGGGGATAAGGGTGGCCCGTGCTTGGCACGTGCACCTTTGCCATAGCAACCATATAGTAGCCCGTGCACGCAACTATATGTAACTGCACTTCGCAGCTAAAATAGCTTCTTTCTTCTTTCAGACTTAACAACACTACGAATGCAACTACTTGCTATTCGTATCGAGTCTTACGTATGCACTTTATTATGTAACTAACACTAATCAGTGGTTAAATTCACACTTAACCACAAATAAGCTAAGTATAGAAAAGAAGAGGTAGTTTTTGCTTTCTTAAAAGTATTAATTACGTTATAAGCAACCGTTAGTTCTTAACAAGTTTAACGGAAACCTAATACAATTAGCAGTATTATTATTAATTGTAGCGTCTATTACGCAACCACTTTATTACGCAACCACTACCGCTAATATAATAGATGATAGAAACAAAAACCTTTTTTTTTACGAATTCGAAGACTCTTTTCTTTCTTCTTTTTTAAAGAAGTTTATTCGGCTTTTAGCAAGTAGCTTCGAAGAACTCGAATAGACTCTCCGAAGCAAATTCAAGGTCGACCGAGAGGTATAAGAAGCTAATAATTTCGACCTTTTTAACAAGATTAAATAGACTTAAAGTTACGTTCACTCGTATATTATCCGAGCTTTCGATATATTTAAAAATGATTATCGCTACGTTATAAGTGACAATTTATAAAAAGTATATTAAAGCTTTTTCGAAAGATAAACTGAACTATTGTTTAAGCTAAGTCATATCACAATCTTAAGATACTTATACAATCACTTCTTCGTCTATTACGTATAAATAAAAGATCTAAGAAGTAGCGTAAGCTATGCTTCAGCTTTTACTAAACTATTTCACAGATCGATATTTCTCGTATTTCTACTTTACGAAAAAGCAAAACGAGAAAAGCGACTTAGTTTAATAACATACAGACTTGCCGTTAAACCTTTACCTTCACTTTTACCTCTTACACCTTTTACATCGATACAATTTATACGACTACCCTTCTTACCGATACACCTTCAACTGTATCGACCTTTACCTTTACTTTCGAATGATATACAATTCGATATATTATTCGATAAGCAACCTTATTAATAGCAAAGACAATAAAAGTTCACCTTTGACTTTCGATTACCTTTTAACTTTCGACTATAACTTTTACCACCGATTCAGTCTCGACTTTTATTTAACTTATTAGTTTATAAACAACTTTACGTACTACTTATCTTCGAACAATACTAAGAATCTTAAAGACGAAGAGCAAGTAGAAGAGGTAAAAGCGAAAGTGATAATGATAAAAGCAATTATACGAATGACTTTTACCGTAAAGACAATTATAAAAGAAGTAAAAGAAAAGGTAGAAGAAGAAGTAGAAGAAGAAGTAAAAGAAGAGGTGGTAAAAGAGGCGGAAGTAGCAATAGAAAAGACCTTGACCAATCAGCTAAAAGAGGCTGGAAATCAAGCCTAGCGCAATTAATTAGCGGACTTAATAAGATATATAGATATGAGAAAGAGCTTAAATATAATAAAAGAATGTAAGATATACTTTTCGTAAAGTTAAAAAAGTTTTATAGCTTATGCGAAATATACGACATCTTTTTTGCTTTATACGTTAAAGTTTTCTTTGTTATGCTTACCGGAGTAGCAAACGCTTATTACATCGATCAAATAACTAGCAAAAGCTACACTTTCGAAGCTATGACACACTTTATAGCTTAACATTTCGAAACCGATAAAAACCGAAAGCATTACATAAGTTTGTAAAGAACTATTATATTCGCTAGTGTCATTATAGATAAAGAGAACATCGAGAAGACTCGATTAAAGTGCTTAAAAATTACGATAAAGCTTTTAAAGAGCTGTTAGCAAAGCTTTATACTCGAATATTAGACCGATAACGTATTGCGCGATCAACTTATTAGCGCTTGCAATAGAATCGAGGAATGCAGATTAGCAATATTTAACCTAGCTAATATATACGAAAGAGTTGCTATTTAATTGAGATCAGCAATTAGCACTATTTAAAGAGAGCGCTAAGTACTCGAATATACAGCTTTTCTTATTATTTATAATACTTTAGGTTATCTCGATTATAATTGCAATAGCAATTGCAATCACGAGACTTATTTCACCGATCGAAACTATAGAAGATCAAGTAAGAGCTACAACCGTGGTTTAAAAAGAGGTTATAATCGCGGTAATAAAAGCAAAGGTAAGAATAGAGGTTTTGCACGTGAAAAAGGAAATAAAAGCTTCCGCGAAGGTAATAAAAAAAGTAAGAAACTTAAAGTATGCTTTATTTGCGGCAAGCTCGATTGCTAGTCTACAAAACACTCTTTCGAAGAGCGAAAACGCTTTTACGACGAGTATAAGAAAAGCGCTATATATTACACTATTCAACTAGTGACTTTAGCTTATTTTACAAGCTTTTTAGCGGACTACGAAAGAGTAAAAAGTATTGCAAACGAAGAAAATCATTAAGATCAAGTAACATACGCTATTGAAAACTATTAGTACGACGAATACGATCGTAGTGATCGCAATTACTTTACTTAAACCTTTCTTACCGAAGCTAGAGAAGTAACAAGCGCCGAAACTATTGCAATTTTATAAGAACGCTTAGCTTATCACGCTTTCACTACCTTAGACGCTATGAACCCTTCAATTAAAAAAGATAAGACTGTTTTATTAGAGACTTACATTTCACACTTTCGGTATTTAGCTTATCGATTCTAAAGGTTCTTTTCCGACTCAGGAGCTGTAAGTAAGTTTTTTGCAAGAGAAGCACAAGTAAGAGCTCTTTAGCATTATCTACTTGAATTATAAGTGATTATTACTCAAGGAGGTACTATCAGCTTCGGCGAAACCCCGGCTATTATTAAAGGAATCGTAGAAGTATAAACACTAATTAGCAAGATTATTTTTTATATAATTAATACTAACACCCTTTTCTTAATCTGTTTAAAAGACATAGATTCTCTTAGCGTGTATTTTGATAATTTAAGAAACTTGCTTGTGCAAGGCTATAACAGCGTGCTAATTGTTAGAAAATAAAGCCACTTATTTTTACTGCTTAGTTAGTAAGAAACTATTATATGTTACCTTATCGAAGGAGAATTGCGTTAAATTCATCGCCGTTAAGGACACCTTTTAGTATAGCGTTTTGCTATTACTTTTAAAGCCGTAAGTAAGGAATTTGAAACCGATATCTTCGAAAAGATTATCAAATACTATACGCAATATCAATTATATAAGCAAGCTTTTCGCAGATTCAAAATCTTTTTAAAAGATAAGTATGAATTCAACTATTCGATTATTATTAATATTATATATATTAACGGAGACTTCGTACTAAATATCGTAGACTTAGCTATAAGCTACGGTTTTAAAGGATTTCTTAAGAATATGATTGCAAAACACGTGTAAGATATAATACGTTACTATTAGATCGATATATACTTAAGCTCTTTAGATGTAATCGTAATAAACGCTAGAACTAATTTAAGCTCTTAAGAGTTTAAACAATAAGCAAAATCGATAAATACTAAGATCAAAGTGGTCTTAATAGAAGCTTATAATAGCGTCGGAAAAGTAGAGCGCTATTATAGTTTTC